TGTTGTTTGGCGGGCCCGGGCTGGGGATACGAACCCGCCACCTTAGGTGTATGTGGCTGGCGCCTTAGCCGCTTGAGCCACAGGCGCCGAGCCCATGTATCACTCTTGATGCTTCTTTCTCTAACCAAATCTGCCCAGGGTTCGGCTATTTACATCCTGATTCTTTTCAGAGTTCCAAGGGATATTTCTGTCTCTCTTCTATTCTTTCTATTCTAAAACATACGTACTTTCTATTAAAGTGGCTTGTTATATTTTATAATTGACTAACTCAATAGTATAACATGACTGACTAACTTAATCGCTATGTCACTAAGACAATCAACATCTAGAGTATACGGGTTGTTTTATATTGTACGCACACTCTCTGTTATGTACAGTTGCTTGCTCTAGCCTAAGGAATGTTGTGAGCATGGTAGGTACTCAATATTGGTTAAATAAATAGAAAAACAGGCTCAGTGCCTGTGGCTCAAGTGGCTATGGAGCCAGCCACATACACCTAAGGTGGCGGGTTCAAATCCATCCCGGGCCCGCCAAACAATGATGGCTGCAACTGAAAAATAGGTGGGCGCCTGTGGCAGGAGGCAGGAGACTCGCTTGAGCCCAGGAGTTGGAGGTTGTTGTGAGCTGTGATGCCATAGCACTCAAAGAATAAATAAATAAATAAATAAATAGAAAAACAGACAGTGGCAATATAATGAAACTGTTAGGAAATCTGTTATCTTCTTGGAGCTTGAACTCATTCCCTGGGTTCATATTCCCTTCTTCATCAGAGTTCCTTGTCTCCCAGGGATTTAATAAACCATTCAGATACTATAAAAGTAGAATAGTTCCTTAAATATTAGAAATGTTAAGATATTTCTAAAGTTTCCATAATGATTCAATTTTAAGGTTTTTAACATTTAAATACGCAAATGGACACCATGGTATAACAGGGAGGTAGTTTTTCCTCAGGGCTTTGGTAAGTGGATCCCTTGCTCTTTTATAAGGAATTCTCACCATTGTTCCAGGTTTTTTTGAAAAAAATACTGTATATATACTTACCTCTACGAAAGTAATACGTTCTCACATTTGCTACCAACTTGAGTGAAGAAAACTAACTTTCTTTGTCAAAACAACATTTCTTACTGAAAACAAGGTCTAGGCTCGGCGCCTGTGGCTCAAGTGGCTAAGGCGCCAGCCACATACACCCAAGGTGGCGGGTTCGAATCCAGCCTGCCAAACAATAATGACGGCTGCAACCAAAAATTAGCTGGGCGTTGTGGCGGATGCCTGTGGTCCCAGCTACTTGGGAGGCTGAGGCAGGAGACTCGCTTGAGCCCGGGAGTTGGAGGTTGCTGTGAGCTGAGATGCCATGGCACTCTACCCAGGGGTATAGCATGAGACTCCTGTCTCAAAAAAAAAAAAAGAAAGAAAGAAAACAAGGTCTAGTCCACTAACAAAAAAGAAAGATTCAGGAAACAAGGGTAGGAAAATTAAATGATTCATGGCCCCGGCAGTACCTATTGCTCAGTGGGTAGGGTGTCGGCCACATACAACAAAGCTGGCAAGTTCGAACACAGCCTGGGCCAGCTAAACAACAATGACAATTGCAACAACAACAAAAAATAGCTAGGCGTTGTGGCAGGCACCTGTAGTTACAACTACTTAGGAGGCTAAGGTAAGAGAATTGCTTAAGCCCAGGAGTTGGGAGTTGTTGTGAGCTATGACGCTACAGCACTCTACCCAGGGCGACATAGACACTGTCTCAAAAAAAAAAAAAAATTCATGGCCTTAAAACCATCCTACTCACCAAAACACGGTGCCTTTTCAGTGTTCTTCAAGTCCAACTGCTCATTGGAAGGACTAATTGTCAGTCTTTTCTCTAAGCATTTCTGATCTCCAATTAATAGCATTCTCCCTTGTTCCATCCATGTGATCAAATCTGGCTTGGAAAAAGCACAGCCTGCAACACAGTGGACACAATTCAGTCTGAGTTTACTGAGTACTTAACTAAAAGTTACTTAGTTACTTTCACAGTTGACTTTGATTCCTGGAGACATGAGATCAATCTTAGGTCTAAAAAAAGAAAAAAAGAACAGGAAGTCCTGGAAGTTATTTGAATGAGAGTGGAATAGAGCTCAACAAAATGATTCCTTAGCTTAAATGCTCTATGTAATATTTTACAAAATTAAAGGATGCAGAGAAGTAAGGATAATAAGAGTTTTAAAACTTTAAAATTTTTAAATTTTCATCCAGGCAGAAAGTGTCCAAAGTGATCATTATGAGACATTATAAGAACAGTGCGAGCCAAACAACTGGGACAACCAGAGGGAGTTGGTGAGGGAGCCTTGATCACAGGATCCACATTTCTGAAGAGAGGCCTCACTTCTGAGGAAATTGACAACTGAGGTACCAAGATGCTTAGTCAATGAAGTAAAGGAAACAGGAGGCTGTTAAACACCAGTGATTAAGAGGTAGAGAGTACTCTGTAGTCTAACAGAATCAGAGAGAAGAACGGTTTTTGTAATCAGTAGACCCAGAGTACAGTGATTTCAGATGCAACAGCAGGAAGCCTCTTCCTCCACTAGCCTTTGGTGGTATTACCCACAGCTGGGCTCTCAGGCCTCTGCTTATCAAAGTGAACTGTGTATCACCAGTCCAGCAGCACCTCAAGTATTTTGAAAAATGTAGGTCCCTGGTACTGAGCCTGAATCTACTCAATCTTAATCTCTGAGGCTGGGATCTAGATGTTCTGTAAAGAACCTGCCGGCATATTACATCATTTAGTTTTTAAAATTTGGGAAAACCAGACTGAATTTTCCAAGCTCATGGGTGTCAATTGTGAAGTATCAAAATGCAACAATGAATCAGCACACGGCTCTTGTTTCTCCTACCCTGCTGGCCACTGGGCCTCAGTCTCCTCTCTTTAACCTCTAAATCAGCGGTTCTCAACCTGTGGGTCAAGACCCCTTTGGACTGTATTAAAGGTTCGTGGCATTAGGAAGATTGAGAACTACTGCTCTAAATGCTACGCGGTCCCAGGGCTGTCTCTGTCCTATCTACATATTCTCCCTAGATGATTCCAATTAGCCCCGTGGCTTAAAACACCATCCAGGTAATGTCTCCCAAAACTGTAAATCTAGTCCCGACCTTTCCTTGGAATTCTACCTTCCCATAGGCAATCATCCACTTTCTATTTCCATACAAATGTCTATAAGCATCTCAAATTCAATGTGGCCCAAACCTGCTGCCTCCTCAACCCTTCCTCCTACCAGCAAATAAAGCCATTCACCATCAAGGTACTCAAAACTTGAGGAATAGATTCTCCTTTCACCCTTTTACTCCATACCCCATCTATCAGCAAAATCTGGTAGAAAAGAGGATTTTAGAAAATCCTCTAAAACATACCTGGAGGACACCTACTTCTCTTTGTCTTAATTATTATTTACCCAGTAAACCTCACCAGTGCTGCTAAAACTCACTGAGTGGTCTCTCTCTTTTCATTGAGATCCATGATTCGGTCTCCATAGTGCAAGCCAAGCAATCATTTTAAAAGTATATTACTAACCCTAGAATTCTGGGATGCTGAGGTGGATCACTTAAGCTTAGAAGTTTGAGACATGCTTGAACAAAAGCAAGACCCCATTCCTGCTAAAAATAGAAAAATTACTCAGGCTTTGTGGTGGGTGCCTGTAGTCCCAGCTTCTCAGAGGCCAAGGCAGGAGGATTACTTGAGCCCAAGAGTCTGGGGTTGCAGTGAGCTACGCTGATGCCACCGCACTCTGGGTGACTCTGTGACTCTGCCTCACAACAAAAAGTTTATTATTCACCTACGTTTAAATCCTCCCATCATCTTCCCCTTGTTTGTACACCTGATCTGCTAAGGCCAAGGAGCAATTCCCCTTGTATGCTAAAATCCAACTCCTTGCCTTGGTTTCATTCCCCAGAAGCCCAAATGCATGTGCTACAATAGACTGATTCAGTGTGGTTCCCAACAGAGTGAGCTCATTCTTTGTGACTTTTTGGCCTTTGCCTAGCTTTTCCCTTCCCTAGAATTCTCTTATCCATGATTTCACATTGTCAATGCCTTCTTGTCATTCATATCTTACTTAAGACTATGTTATATTCTCCTTCAACAGGGAAAGACTCCTTGAGGCTTTACTAAATTGACACCAGTAGAAATGGGTTTTTGAAAATTTTTTTAAGAGATGGGGTCTCTTTTTTTTTTTTTTTTTAAAGATGTCGCCTAGGCTGGAAGGCAGTAGTGCAATCATAGCTCAGTGCATCCTCATACTTTTGGGCTTGAATGATCCTCCAGCCTCAACCTTCCAAGCGACTAGGACTACAAGCATCTGCCACCACACCTGGCTCATCTTTAAAAATTTTTTGTAGATACGGAGTCTGTTAGAAATCCTTTAATATCACAGGAATAAGTTAGAGTGAGTTGGCTAAGCAGCAAAGTATAATTTTCTCAAATTTGTTTTTAAGGTATCCTCGAATATTTCCCTGAAGTCACCTAAGTGTCCCCTCCCACTGCTCTCTTCTCTCTTCCTCTACCTGGGCATCCCTTCTTGCCTGTTGTATCCACACTGTGCACTGTGTTGTGCCCCAGCTTATGCTAACTTAATAACTATACCCCCTTCATGAAAGCCATAGTTCTCACAGACAGGAAATTCTTATCCAGGCAACATAGGCAGGCATTAAAGTATTCATTAAAGAAATAAAAGAATACCCTTTTATTTAAAGAAATAAAAGTCACAGACACCACTGGATAGAAATAGACAAGTGAAATATTCTCCTCTCATTATAGGGTGGCAAGGAAATATTATGAATGTAAACTGGGAACAGGATCTTATCCAACCAGCTCATAGCTGATACAGAGAAGGAAACCTCTTAGTGTTGGTTCTCAAAAAGCGATTCCTTAGAAGCCCATCTTACCCAGGGAATCAAGGGTCTCATAATTGGTCTTCATCACTTGCTTATACATTTCCTTCTGCCATTTCTCCAGGATGTCCCACTCTTGCTCCGTAAAATATAAGGCAACATCATCAAATGCCACGGTTACCTACAGCACAAACAGTAGATACATACATTTTCTCTTTAAGGCTACTTTTTCAATGTCCACGATTTACTAAGAGATGGAAAAAAACAAACCAGTGATCTCTGGATGGTGCCATATAATTTAACGAACATACTAAAGAGGTCACAAATGTCCTGTGGAGCCAAGTAAAGTGAACGAGGGACGAGTAGGCCTTTGAGCACATGCACCATCTAAGGAAGGATCCTTTACTCAGCAGCAACGAATTTCTTCTAAGACTGGGCCTAGTTTACTGGATGTGTCAATTAAAAGCTTTTTAGTTTGAAATAATTACAGATTCACAGAAAGTTACAATGATACTTCGGAAAAGCTCCATATACCCTTTACCTCAAAGGTCATATTATACATTTTTATATTATAGCACAATATCAAAAGCAGGAAATTGACACTACTATTAATGTGTGTATAGGTCTGTGCGACTTCATCACTTGCTAACTCCTGTAACCACCACTGCAGTGAAGAAAGTCAGCCCTTCCTACTCCTGGGTTTTGCATCTGTGGATGCAACCAACCTTAGATTGGAAAAAAAAGTGTGTATATCTATACATTTTTCATAATTAAAAATAATGAAAATATTCTAGCATAAAACTATTTGTATAGCATTTCCCTTGTATTATAAGTAATGCAGGAATTATTAATACATATGAAAGGATGCATGGAAGCTATCTACAAACACTAAGCCATTTTATATAAGCAACTTGGGCATCCCTGAATTTTACTACCTGAGGGGTATCCAGGAACCAGTACTTTTAGATACTAAGGAATGACTATATCCCTTTATCACAAAGAGATCCCTTGTTCCAACTCTTTACACACATTCTCTAATTTATTGTCCATCAGAAGTTTGTCATTTCAAGAATTTTATATAAGTGGAATCTTTTTAAAAAAATTTATTAATAGTTTATTTATCACTCATATTCATAGCTCAGGAACACAGGTTAGTGACAAATGTCTATGTAAATCAGCCCAAAGAAATTCTTTGTATTTCAAAATTATTTGACGCTCTGAAAGACACCAGCCTTCCTCATCTCCTCAAAATCTTTCACAGAATCATAATTTCTGTAGAAATCTGCATATGCCTTCTTTCTTGGTTCAGCCACAGCAAACTTATAGAAAGCTGCAACCCCAGAGACACAACAAATGCTCAACAATATGAATCCGCAGGCGCCTGGCCAAGAGGCCATGCATCTGAGGTTTGGCCAAAGCACTGGAAGCCATGGTAGTTACTGTCCTTGATGGGTTGCCAACCTCAACGCATCCTTCCCGGTTGAGGTACACACAACTGCCATAGGTGGAATCTTATAACATGCAACCTTTTGAGACTGTTTTCACTGAGGATGTCCTTGAGATCCATCCACATTGTCATTTATAGCAATACAGTCAAGTTGCACATAATGATGCTTTGGTCAAAGAGGTACCACATATACCACAGTGACCCACTAATATTGTAGTACCATATTTTTACTGGGTCTTTTCTATGTTTAGATACACAATTACTTATCACTGTGATAGTTGACTATGCTATTCAGTACAATAACATGTTGTACACGTCTGTGCCTACAACAGGCTATACCATCTAGCTTCAGGTGGTGTAGTAGGTAGGCTGCACTATAGCATCTAGGTTTCTGTAAGTACCCGCTCTAATTCTGCACAATGAAAAAAATCACCATGAATTCCTCAGACCGTATTCCTCTCGTTAAATGACACATGACCGTTTGCATTTATTTTTATTGCTGAGTAGTATTACACAATATGGAGGTACAACTTGATTAACCATTCAACTATTGAGGGATATTTTGATTCAACATTTTTGTTTTTCTGGGCTAAATGCCCAGGACAACTGCTACAATGTATGGCATGTATGTTTAGTTTTTTTTTTTTTTTTGGAGATAGAGTTTCACTATGTCACCCTCCATAGACTGCCATGGAGTACAGCTCACAGTAACCTCCAACTCTTGGGCTTAAGTGAGTCTCTTGCCACAGCCTCCCAAGCAGCCTGCCACAACATCTGGCTATTTTTATATTGCAGTTGTCATTGTTGGGTTTTTTTTTAGCTGGCTTGGGCCAGGTTTGAACCCTCCAGCCGCGGTGTTTGTGGCTGGTGCTGTAACCACTGTGCTATGGGTGCCGAGCCATGTGTTTAGTTTTTAAAGAAACTGCCGAATTATTTTCCAGAGTGGCCAAAAGATTTTACATTTCTTAGTTGGGCGTTGTAGTGGATGCTTGTAGACCCAGCTACTTGGGAAGCTGAGGCAAGAGAATTGCTTAAGCCCCAGAGTTGGAGGTTGTTGTGAGCTTGACGCCACAGCACTCTACCCAGGGCGACAAAGTGAGACTCTGTCTCAGACAAAAAGAAAGAAAAAGGCTTTTACATTCCTACTAGCAATGTATAAGAGGGAGCTTCTGAGCATCTACACCACTGTTTATTAATGCCACTTCAAAATTTTTTTCATTGTTCTAATAGGTATATAGTGATATGTTTTTGTGGTTTCATTTAAAATTTTTCTAATGAGTTTTGAACATCCTTTTCATGTGTTTATTTCCTATGCATATATTTTCTTAGGTAAAATGTCTCTTTATAAGAATTCCCATTTACAATTAGATTTTGATTTTGTTTTACTGTTCTGTGAGAGTTCTTAATATATTCTAGATACAAATCCTTTGCCAGATATGTGGTTTGTAAATATACTCCCCCAGTCTGTATCTTATCTTTTCTTGTATCTTTCCAAAGTAAAAGTTAATTTTGATGACGTACAACTTATCACTTTTTACCTTTTATAGACTGTGCTTTCTTTGGTGCCACATCTAAGAACGTTCACCATGCTCAACATCCCAAAGATTTTCCCCACTGTGACCTTCTACAGGTTTTATAGCTTTATGTTTTATATTGGAATGTGCCAGTTATCAAGATTAAAACAGGAAATGTACATCATATTATGTGTGGCAATTAAAAGTCATAATTTTAACAGCAAAGAATGTTCCATACAAAATATGTCTGCAAGTCATGATTAGCTCATGGACCATTAATCTACAATCTCTGGTAATGGACTGACTACCCAGGCCTGCTTTCCTGGGTATTCCATGGACAGATCCACTGTGGTGATGGGAAAGCAACAGAACATATGTGGTAAATGGAAAGTTCCATTTTCACTCCTCTCAGATTCTGTGCTACAAACAGATGAGAGGCTCCAGTCAAAGGCGTTGGTCATCTACAAAGATAGAAGCACTCCCCCAAGCATATAAAAAACGGTGGCCACAAGTACTGTACTACAAAGTATATTCTCCCAGCAGGGAATTTAGACCACCTAATAGCCAAGGCTGTTTGACACTCAAGATTTTGAAGAGAAAAGCTGCAGAGATAAAATTCTATCATTAAAAGTATCATAGGTTCCAAAAGCTGATGTATCAGCGGTCATAACAAACAAGTTCAAATTGATTGGTGTTTTTATGAGATTTCAAAGAAATGCTTCTTCAATCTCCTTGTACCTCACCCACATTTTCCACCTACAAAAGACTCAATGATTACCCTATTTACAACTAGCACTGAACCTCTCCAGTGTAAAGGAAAATTAAAAGAATAAAGATTTTCCCTTGCCTATCCCAAATAATACAATGGCCAAGAAGTCATCCATGCTCTATGGATTCAAATTTACAGCCAAAGAAGAAGCACCACAAAGTTTCACAGAACAGACAGGAATATTCCAGGAGGTTCCCAACCACCTACAGAAGAGGAGGGGAAAGGAAAGCCTGGCTGAAGAGACATATGTTGAAGAAACTGGGAAAAGGACATGCAAATAAGAGCAAGACTTAAATTTCAGTGGGGGGACACCGAACATTTGCATATTCAAGCTAGTTATAGTTAACCAAAACTAATGGGGTTTATTTTGGATTAAGTCTTCTCAGGATATGCCTTTTAGACTCTAAAACCACTGTTCAAACTTTGCCGTGTACTACAGCGCTGGTGGTGAATTTCATTTAGGATAACTACCCAAACTGGTTTCCAGTTTTCCGTCCATTTCTAGAAGGAGCAGTCTCCAATTTCTCTCAGTTTCAGTTTTCCTTACCCTCCCTTTTTCTCATCTACTTCTGCAGAGGTTCTGCTCTGAGGCCTCTTCCAGCAGCAGAGCATGGAACAGCCCCAACCCTTACACAAGACTAACAGGGACCCAGGGCTCCTGAGCCCTGAGGGCAGGGAAGGTGGTTGAGCAGAGCAGACAACAGGCCCAAACACCGGACCTCACCGGGACTCCAATTTCCAGACTAATTGCTTTTTCCCTTCTTCCCCATCCCCAAAGAGGCGGGGCTCCCTATGTCACCCAGGCTTGAGTGTAAGGGCTATTCACCGGCGAGATCTCATTACAGAACTGCACCGGAGTTTTTTGCGACTTAGGTCAGTTCACCCTTCTAAAGCATCCTGCTAGCCCCGGTTCCCAGAAGGTCATGCACAGATGCCCAGTTTAGTGCGGACACCCCGCGGGGGCAGCTCCTGGGCTCGAGAGACGCCCCCACGTCAGCTTCCCAAGCAGCTGGGGCCACAGGCGCAAGTCACTGCGCCCCCACCCCACTCTGCCCACACCAACTAGTTCCCAGAAAATTCCAGAGCACCAAAACTGCGCCTTCTCCAGCCTGGGCTCGGAGCTCCGTCCAGGGACCACAGACAATCTCCTCAGGCTCGGGCTTCCCTCGCTTCACTCCCTAGGCGGGACGCAACTCCAGCCGCGACAAGCCAGTAGCTTTGACAGAGCCTGCAGCCTCCACTAGTCCCTCTTACCGAAGCCGGTTGAGCCATGGCGGCTCCGCGGGGACCGGCCCGACAGCGTTTTGCCCCCAGCCGGACCGACCCCCAGACAGAGCCCGGGATTCCCCCAGCGCAGCGCCGGCCAGGGCGCGGTGCATCCTGGGATTGGGCAGCCAAGGGCCCGGAACAGGCAGCCTCATAGCGACCTCTGCGGCCGGGAGGAGCGGGCACCTACCCACAGCGCCCGGGTCTGGGGGGAAGAACTCGCGCTGTTCAGTGGGAGGACCCTCAGAAGACCGATGGGGGCCCAGACTCAGCCCCTCAGCCCCTCCTGCCGCCGTAAGGAGAAGGCTCCGCTCCAGGTCTGCCCTCTATAAAGGGTACCTGTTCCAGGCTTTAGAGGCCGCAGCCCAACCATGGGTGATGGGTCTTGCGAATGTGTTGGGATCTCAAGGGACAGAAACAGCTGGAGAGGAGCTTAAGATTCCAAGAGTGAAGAGGCAATGGCGAGGCAGTTGGGAGTGGAGAGAGAAGAATGAGGGACAGGGGAGGCGCCCCTCACAGTGTAGCAGGAAACCAATACAGACGGAAGACTCCAGGCACCAGTTGATTAGAGGAAGCGGTTTCCGGCTGGGGAGAACTCGGAAGACCTGTGTCTCCAAAACTTAACTCCCCCCCGCCCCCCACCGACTCAAGCTCTTGCCTCTCTTTTATCCACTTTTCAGGGTGAGAGTGCATGTGAGGGTCATAAAACTGAGAAAGACATGACATCATCCTCCAGGTCCTGGGCTCAAGCGGAAAGGTCCGATTGGCCCACACCCTTGCGACTGGTTGGACCACCTGCCCTCAAAGGCTAAGGAAGTCCAAGGACTAGGTTACAATCTAGGCCCTGCCCATGTCAAGGCAGGAACCTAGAGACAACAGAAACGCCTGCGGCTTGCCTAAGGCCTACACAGGGCGGCTAGGACAGATTCTTTTAGCTCTGCTTTTACTTTCTTGCCCCATTCCCCCCCTTTGAGACTCAGAACAACTTGTTATGGAGTCTGACCACCATCTTTATCAACCTGTGCCATAGTTCCTTGGTGGTGCATGTAGTTGCTCCACCTGGGTCTCTTTGAGATGCAGCCGAAGTCACTAGGTTCCTCACCATCTGGGGTAATACTGGCAATAAGCATGGGAGGAGAAGGCAAGTACCCAATAACAGCAAGACTCCTATTATAAGGGCCTTAAAACCTCCAAAAGCAGAGAACTGTCCTCCAAAGATGGATTTCAGATGAAATCCGTGCCACACCTATACCGGCACATGAGCCAATTTGGAAATTTCTTTTTCTTTCTTTTTTTTTTTTTTGAGACAGACCCTCAAGCTATCCCCCTGGGTAGAGTGTCGTGACATCACAGCTCACAGCAACCTCCAGCTCCTGGGCTTAAGCGAGTCTCCTGCCTCTGCCTCCCCAGTAGCTGGGACCACAGGCGCCTGCCACAAAGCCTGGCTATTTTTTGGTTGCAGCCGTCATTGTTGTTTGGCAGGCCGGGCTGGATTCGAACCCGCCATCTTAGGTGTATGTGGCTGGTGCCTTAGCCACTTGAGCCACAGGCGCCAAGCCTGGAAATTTCATTAGCTCTATTTTCCACCACCAGACCTTGATGATCTATTTTCAGACAACAGTTGGTCAGATTGAACTTTCCACATGTTCCTCCATCTGCAGCAAGTAAATAATCCAAAGCCAATCTGTTTTGATACACAGCATTTCTTATTTGAGTTTGCTGGTGGGCAAGGAGGGTCAAAGCTTTGCTGATCTCATTAGTGATTATTTCTAAGACCACCTGCAATCGTATGATACGATTTAGCATATAGATAGGGGTTCAGTAACCCCATGACTCATTCTTTGCCCATGTGGCTGGCCCATAGTCTTGTATTATTCTTTCTGGGGGCCACTCATCCTCTTTCCATTCCCCTATTTGTAAGTCTTGATGATGCTGTTGGACTTCTTCCTCTGAGGTGGCTACTGGAAGCCCCAATATTTCTCCTGCCTTGATGGGCACTAGAAATAAAGAGGGCTTTATAAAGCCTATGATACAACTGTCTGTCCATCGGTCAGGTAACTGGGCATATGCCTTATCCCCACAAATCCAATACATTCCCTGAGGGGCACTCCAGTTTTGTGAGATCCTGGATGCCACCAGGCATCTCTGAGTTCAGAGAACCAGTCTAGGGGGTTTAGTTCTGTCTGATTCAGTCCCCACCAGACAGTTATTCCAGTAGTAGCATTGTACAGTCTTTGACCCAGGCAATGTAGTTGTCCTGCCATTCCCTTCACTTCTTGCTAGGCAATATTGCCCGATAATCGGGGCCTTGAGGATCCACACATTGTCCTTTAGATTTCTCTGATATGGAGCAATGTCTGGGTTAGGCTCAGTGGGAGTGAGTTCTCTAGCTTCCCACGGCCACCGATCTCCTGTCATAGTTCCTCCACATATAAGCAAGAAGTTACATTAAGGGACTGTGCCACACTTTCAGCCAATTAAAAGAATAATTTTTTTGTGCCTTATGGGAGTGGCGGCACAAGCTGTTCCAATTCATCATAGAAAGTATAGTAAACAGCCACCTGACTGGCCTGACAGGAGGCAAACCGTTTGCTGACCCTTAACTGACATATTGGGTCTAGACCAATGCCATCTATTCCCAAAGACATAACTAGTCCTTTTGCCCACTTAGGGTTGGAGGGATTTCTTATAGTTAGAATCAAGGGGTTGCAAGTTTCAGTAGTACAATCAGCTGGTGCTTCCCCTTTTTCTAGCACGAACTCTTTCTGGCTACCATCTTTAGTACTCCAGGTGCCTTCTATTACACATGACCAGTATGCACATTCAGCACATGGGTAGTCTATAGAGCACAGATACTTCTGGTTTTTCCTATAAGACCTTTCCCAGTCAAATGATCCAAACTTGCTATGTGCAAGTTTGAGCACTTGGCATGCGTCAAATCTAAGAGACACCAGGGTTGGATTTCCATAGCTTCGAGTTCTCACTACTAGAAGTTCCCTCTCAGCTCTCCAACCCACTGATTCTGTTCTGATAGTAAACTCATAGTAATTGGGCAGCTCTGAGGGATTGTAGCAAACATGAGGTTGCCCATCCCCAGGGTCACACACCTTATATTGAGTAGTATTATATAAGCAAGTCCCTTGCTGAGTTCCTGTACATTCATAGTAACTATAGAAAAATAGAATAGTTTTCACTTTCTGGCCTACTTTGGTTACCTTATGAATACATTGATTGCAATTTTCTACATTAGCATCCTGAATATTTGCACAAACTGAAGTCCACTTAGCTCTCATGAGTCCAATAAAGAACAGTCCCACGATGACGTAGATCCACATGCTTCGGCCGTGCGTGGACCAGTAAGCTCCTGGGGTGTGACTGGAGCAGGGCTTGCCATTCTCCAAAACACCAGCTTGAGGGGGTTGTCAGGGTCCGAGGTGGCAAGGTCCAGCAGTGCAAAGTCCAAGCCAAGGGAACTCAGGGTCAGCTGCTGCTGTCATGTCCTGCTCGTCCAGCTCCTCCTAGGTAGGACCAGGTCTTCCTCTGGTTCCGCAGCAGGCTTTGCTCTGCTGTAATGGATTCAGGTAGGAATTTCTGCTACTCTCACAGCAGGAGGTGTGGTCAGGATAACATTGTAAGGACCTTTCCACCTCGCCCTCGGGGGAGACACGTTCCAATCCTTGACCCATACTGTAGCTCCTGGGGAGAAAGGGTGAACAGAGGAAAACAAACTAACAGGACATCTCTCATTCACCCATCCTGACACTGCCTCTGCCACCTTTCCCAGTGCCTGAAATTGCTTCCTTAATTCTACCTCTCCCAATTCCTGGGGGGATCCTGGCAAGCTCCATAGTAAGGGGGTGAGAATCATATGGTGAGAATCCTGTCCTCTTAGTGAGAGTACACTTAATCTAAAATAACACCAAATGGGAGGGTGCTTACCCACTGTAAGTTTGTCTCCTGGCATACTTTCTCTAAACTGGTTTTGATAGTTCTATTCATGTGTTCCACCTTTCCCGAGCTTTGTGGGCCGTAGACTTCATGGAGTTTCCGGGTGATGCTGAGAATTTTAGCTGTCTTCTGGACCAATTTGGAGATGAATGCTGGCCTTTTGTCTGACCCAATCCATAGTGGGAACCCAAACCGGGGTATAATGTCTCTCAAGAGTGCCCGGGTGACTTCTTGCACCTTCTCAATGCGGGTAGGATATGCTTCTACCCATCCAGAGTAGGTGCAAACCATCACCAGCAAGTACTTGTTCTCTTTACACCTGGGCATTTCAGTGAAGTCTACCTGGAAGTCCTTGAAGGGCGTTGCTCCGTATGACTGGATTCCTGGGGGTACCACTGGTCCTTGGCAAGTGTTGAATTGGCTGCAGGTGACACATCATTGGCTGATGGCTTTAGCCAGGACTGCCAGGTGAGAGATGTAGAAGTACCAGCCCAGCAACTTCACCAGGGACTCCTGTCCCAGATGGGTGCTCTCATGCATCGCCATTACCACTGTGGCTCCTAGAAGCTGGAGGACTGCTACTTGTCCGTCAGGCATCTTTATCTATCCTCCCTCTGCTTCCTGGCTCCCCTCCACTGCCAACCATTCCTTCTCTTCCTGAGAGTAGACAGGGGTGAGTTCCAGAACCCATGGGATGAGGGGAGCCACTCACAATGCCTGGTACGGCTGAGAGGCAGCCCTCTTGGCCTCAGTGTCAGCTCTGGTGTTCCCCTTAGTGATGGTGGAAGCATCCCTTTGATGTCCATGACAGTGCATCACTGCCATTTTCTGGGGTTTCCATACTGCCTCTAGCAACTGAAGTATCTCCTGCTGATACTTAATGTCCTTTCCCCCAGAGTTTAAAATTCCCTTCTCCTTGTATAGTACCCCATGTACTTGGAGAGTCAGAAAGGTGTACTTAGAGTTGGTGTAAATATTTACACTCTTTCCTTGGCTTAGTTCTAAGGCTTGGGTCAAGGCAATTAACTTAGCCTTCTGAGCCAATGTTTCTTGGGGTAGGGGCTTAGCCTCTACAGTCTCTGTTAAGGTGAC